CCGCGCGGCCGCCGCCGCGGCCGCGCGCCGCGACCGCGCGGCGGCCGCGCGCCACCACCAGGCGGCGACGCGGCTCCTGAGCGCCGCCCGTCCGCGGCGGCGGCCGCGGACGCCGCCGCGGCCGCGCGCCACGTGCGGAGCGCGCCGCGCGAGGCCGGCGCGACGTGGCGGAGGCGCCGGATCGGCCGCGACGTCCGCCGCGGCCGCGGGGCCCTCGACGTCGGCGACGCGCGCCTTTCACCAGCGGCCGAGCGCCGGCGCCGCGCCGCGGTGGAGCGCCTCCCAGCGCCGCCACCACGCGCCAAGGCCCCGCGCGAGCCGCCGGCGCCGCGACCGTGCGCAGAGTAACGCACATAACTACCATGAGAACCGACGCGCTCCACGCGCCAGCGGCGCCGTCCGCGAGGCCCCGCGGCTGCGGCCGTTAGCCGCAGGGCGCCACCCAGGACGCCGGGACGTGGGGGACCTCCGAGTAAGGCCTCGAGTAGGGCAGGCTTTCTTCCGAGACGGCGACGAGTCCGTCTCCTCCCAGTACGCCGAGCCCGAGGTCGACGAGTCCGACTCGGACGACGACGACGCCCGGCTCCGCGCCGACGCCGAGGCGCGCGAGGCGGGGGATTAACGTCTATTTTCGTGGGATACGCGATGGAGGCCTATCTTAGAGCGGACGCGCCGGCGCTCGCCGACGGGGCAATTTTTCCGTGTCATGGGACGGCGGGGTAAAAAAAAGAAGGGAAAAAAAAGAAAAAAATGAGGCGCCGAAGGCGCCGAAGGCGCCGACACGCGCCGATACGCGTGACGCGGGCGGAGCTCGACAATCCAACAGCATGCAGCATGCGGCACCGGTGATCCGCGGAGAGGTCGTCGTCGTCCCGGAGCGCCGGCACGGCGAGCTCGACGGGCTCGTCGGCCTCGTGGAGGCCGGCCTGCGTGAGGAGCTCCGTGGCCGCGACGAAGGCCCGCTCGAGCACGGGCTGGTGCTGCCTGTCGAGCGGCGCGGTGAAGTCCAGGGGCGCCACGTAGCCCTTGGGGAGCACGTAGTGCCTTGGAGGTCAGGCCCGCGGGGAGCGACGTCCGCGCCGGGCCCTCGT